ATAACAGCAACGATTGCACAGATTCAGAAAACAGGCCACCTTCAACGCCATCACCGAGTATCTCTGAATTGTCTGTAGCGACTTCAGCTTTACGAAGTTCGTGTTTGAAATAGATATACACACACATTAATATGAGGATATTAGAGTTTTTAATAATTTAATCTACCGTTTGGTTTCAGAAAGACAACATTCAAGTAACATCGACGAAGTAGATAGAGCTTTTTTACAGACCTTAAACACAAATGTTCAACCCAATCCTATTGATGGATTCATGTTACGACTGGCAGAAGGAATGCGTCGACTTCCCTACAGGGAAAGATCACAGTTAGAGTTAGAGTTCTTAATAAAACTGCGTGAAACGGAGGAAAGATTGGGACTATTAAATAATTAAGAGGATATCTGTTATATCGTATATTATACTTAGTTTTACAAAAAAATATTGTAGACATTATAAAATAATATATAAATTAATTTTTAAAAATTATTGTGTAATGCCTTCTCCCATTGTTGTTCTATGGCTCCAGCAGTACAAAAAAATTCTTTGAATGCATCTCGAATGTTCACTGCACTTTGAATTACATTATTTCTTTCTGTATTATTATCAAAACAATGTAATGCTTGGAAAGCACTATTATATACATTTACATGATCTGAAAGTGATAAAGACATATATTGTTTTTTTTTTCAGCGAAAACTGCGAGATCTTTTTGCATTAGAAAATTATGCAGACAAACTGTTGCTTTTACTATTGCAATTGCATTGTTTACATTTGTCGACAGAGGTCGTCGAAAAATTCTCCAACGTGCCGTAAAAATGCCAAAAGCACATTCCACAATTCTACGAGCTCGGCTAAGTCGATAGTTGAATACTTTCTGTCGTAAATTTAAATCGTTGGCACGTGGATAAGGTCGCATCATAAAAGATGTTAAAGCGAAAGCTTCATCACCCACTAAAACGGCAATTGTGAACCATTTTCTACAATTGATCTCGGCGGAGGTAAGTTACATATATTATTGATGAGATGATGTCCAATTTTACTTTCCGCAAAAATGCCTCCGTCACTTCTTCTACCTTCAGCTCCAATATCTACTGCTGTAAAACAATAATTTGCATCTGCGATCGCTAGGAGAACAATGTTATAGGTACCCTTGTAATTAAAATAAGTTGAACCACTGTGAGGTGGAGCCTAAAACAACACCAAAATTATATTTTTTTAATAAAAATAAAAAATTATTTTTATTATTAAATCAGAGTAAGAACAAAAATTAATTAAATTACGTACCACTATTGCCATTATATGCCTTCCATCTATCGCTCCAATGCAGTTAGGAAAATTCCATTGTGTTTCAAATTCGTTGGCATTTTCTCTCCAAAAATCTTCAGTGATTTCGGGAAAAACTTTCTCTTTTAATATGTTCCATATAGCTTCACAAGTTTCTGATATAATTTTTGGAACCGTATTCAATCCTACTCGAAAAGCAAACGAAATTGATGACATATTATCTCCAGATGCTAGATACCGTAGGCATATTTCCAGACCTGTAGAAGCGGGTATTGGAGATCTTACTACATGTTGCTTTTCGATCTTCGGCAAGATGAGACGTAATAATTCATGAAATGTTGATATATCCATACGAAGATATTCAATATACTTTTCCATATCAATATATTGCATTTCTCTTATTAAATTATTACTTGCTCCCTGCAAGCGCCTTCGATCTTCGTTAAATATTGGACGTACCCAAAATCGTCGTTGGTTCTTCTGCTTTTCTCTTCTTTTCATTATTCTATAAATACCGAAAGCTTTCAGCAACTGTCTTCTTCGAAACTCTCTTTGCCAAGATAATTGTGGAGTATTTTGCCACTCCATTATCATTTTCATAAGAAATAATTTTGCTTTTTTTGCTTTCATTTTTTTATTTCTATAAAATAAAACATACTTATAAACAAAATATAATGTACTTTTATATACAAAATATAATGTATTTTTATTATATATTGTCTTTAACAAATTGAAACCACACTATAAGCATATTGTATATGTATGTTGGGCTAGAAATGTATGCTAGACCGTCAATTATCAACATTATAACCTAATATAACATAACTTAACATACATATCTCATAATTACAATACTTACAGCAGATGACATCATATTCCCCTTTTTCCGATCAAAATAAATATATAAATACAACTTATCACCACTCTTTAACCACCAGTGACCGCCGATATTTGAATTACGTACATGCACATGCACATGCATGAATTCCGTTCCGAAAAATGATCGCCATGGGGAACCCAGATGTGAAGACACGCAACGGAATCATTCTGATTGGTTAGCTCCCCCACCATCCCACCTTTCCGATTCCGTTTTCCGATAATTCCGACGTCCATGGGACAGCACCCTTATTCCTAGGATAGACTAGTCAAAAGCCGAAACGCAAAACTTATTTCGGGCTTTGACTAAGACGCTTGGTCGTTCCCCAGGATTGACTAGTCAACCCTAGGAATGCCTGCGTTTCGGGCTTTGACTATAACATATATATAATAAATATTGAGCCAAGTTTTTTTACAAGAAAAATTTATTTCTTTTGTTTTAATTAAATATTTTTATTTTGTACTGTTACTTCTTTAATTCTTTGTAATTAAAATGATTCTTTGTAATATTAAAAATTTGTTAAAGAGAATTAAGAAGCTATTATCACTTGGGTTTAGAATAGGAAGATCCTTGAATAGGAATACGAAGATACCACTTGGGTTTTATTTTTTTAAAGTAGTTGCATAACAATTATCTTTCAAAGCAATATACATATTCTCTTTACAATTGGCGCAATTTAATTTAAAGATTTCACATCTTTTTTTGAAATACATGTCACTTGAGTTAAGTTAGGTAATATAATTTTGTGAAGAAGAAAATAAAGATTTCACACCTTTTTTTTTTAAATACATGTCACTTGAGTTAAGTTAGGTAATATAATTTTGTGAAAAAAAAATTAAAGATTTCCCATCTTTTTTTTGAAATACATGTCACTTGAGTTAAGTTAGATAATATAATTTTGTGAAAAAGATATAAAGCTACCACTTATAGTTAGATTTTTGAATTTACAAAATACATTGCGTGTACTTGGCATACAAACTGACGCACGTGCAAGGGAAGACAGAATCACGCTCGAGGGAAACCTAACCGTGAGCTGAAGTCGTGCGCCCAGCGCGCCACAGTGACGAGACTGGCGGACCAGCCCCGGGTGCTTACTGGCGGATAAGCCCCAAACATAAGTTTCAGGTTTGATCACCTACGAAATATTAGACATCAACGATAATAAAAAAGCTACACTGGATTCGTGTTCAGCATGCATTACTCTTTATAATCACGTACCTCGAGATTTGGAGAGTAAATATTATTGCCGATATTACAATATTTCCACGCGCAGAAAATTTCACTTTCACCTTCCGAAAACACGTTTGCCCTCGTAAGGGCCTAAGCAGAATGGCTATAAACAAAACAATTTCCGTCGCCAGCAACGGAGTTTTAATTGGCCAGTTGGGTCGAAAATAAAACGACTTATTCAGAATGGCTATCTTATAACCTTAAGGCAGTGTTTTATGCCTTAAGTCTTTGTCTTATGTAACGCACAATACTGTGTTGATGTTTTCCCAGGTAGCAAGCACTCGTCATTTTGACGTCAATATTTGGTCATAATTGGTCAGTAACGTCATTCGTCGATTAAGTGACGTATATTTAACGTCATGTTTTAATACGTCAAAAAGACTTTGTAAAATGACATTATATAGACGTTTAATTGACTACCCAGGTAGCAGACAGTCGTCATAATGACGTGATTCTTACGTCATTTTATGACGCATGTTACGTCATTTATTCCTAAAGTTTAACGTAAAAATGACATTTTTCACAGTATTTTTCACAGGAATATTCCTACATTTATAAAGTGTTTCGTAACTTTATGAACGACGTGGTGAATTTATGGTATAAGTGGATCTAGTTGCGTGTGTAATTATAGTTTTATGACAACTATTTCATGCAGTGTTATCAAAAAGATATCATTACAAGATTTTTGAACACTTTAAAGATGTACCTGTTATAGACAAGTACAGTTAATAAGGAAGCATCAGGGTGAGAAGATCGTCACTGTCCACTGGATCATCGAAGTCAAGCGACTCGGACGCGGTACTGTGCTAGGATGGGTGACCGCCTTGAGAGCGGCTATACGCACATGGCATGTAACGAAACAGTTAAAAAAACATTTTTTTTTTAAATAAAAAAAAAGAACATTTTTTTGTAAACGTTTATCAAGTAGACATTTTAAAATTTTAATTTCATAAAAAACATTTCTAGAAACCGGTATGTCGTACATTAGACCTATTTTTGCCGTCAATAAAACGTCAGAAAATGACGTCGTTGGGATGTGACTTAGGACCGTGAAAAATACGTCATTTTTACGTTAAACTTTAGGAATAAATGACGTAACATACGTCATAATATGACGTTAGAATCACGTCATTATGACGACTGTCTGCTACCTGGGTTCTGTCTTGTGTAGTTACGCGTATACTACACAAGACAGGAAACATTAACACAGTATTGTGCGTTTACATAAGACAAAGACTTAAGGCATAAAACACTGCCTTAAGGTTATAAGACAGCCATTCTGCTTAGGCCCTAAAAATCATAACACGGCAGGTAACCTGCCGAAACTCCGTTGGTCACATGGGTACCATAAGCAGCGTTTATAATGGGTCTGTTCGCGTTGCTTGCACTTTTCGCACTCAGCATCTTCGCTTTCTCTCTCTCCAACGGCCGAATATATATTTATCTCATTTCAAGTACAAAAATGTTTGGGGATTTCAAGCAACGCGGACAAGCCTAATGTTAATAGCGAGTTCGCACAATATACAGGTTCCGAGATATTTGATTTGGCGGTTCAACCCCGTTGGCGGTTTAGCCCCGGTCTCCCCTACTTCATGATCCGCGACTTTAACAATTTCTCCGATCGCCACTTCGCCGGCTCCAATCAAAAGGACAGTATCGGCATGAAAAATCTGTTCGGTCTGAAGAACTCGGCCTGAAAATATCTGCGAACCAAGATCACCCCTACCCTGACGACAAGCAAGTTAAAGCAGATGTTGCCGTTGATGCTGGAGACCGCAGAGGCCATGATGAAATATATAGAAGATCAATCGGCGAATCACGACAGCTTGAAGGTGTTGGACGCCCAAGATCTCAACTACAAGTACACGACCGACCTGATCGCTTCAATCGCGCTCGGCACCAAGATAGATTCATTCTACTATCCGAACGAGTTCTCGGTCGCAGGTACTTGTTTTCGACTTAACGGATTACGTATCTAAAAAATTAGCAGAAGTGAACCAAAAAAGTAAGTAGTAAAGCTAATAAAATTATTGGGGGGGGGGGGGGAAACGATTTCGACGTTGATTAGACATCGATTCGATGGGTCATTTCTCGCTGGGAACAGTGTTCTTCATGGCCGAACTGGTGGAAGTGATCGGTACAAGGATGCTTTTCAACTCTGCCTTCGTGAGAAAAATCTTCTGGACGGCGATGGAGAACCGCGAGAGGACTGGCGAGAAACGAGGCGATTTCATCGATTCGCTGATCCAAATAAAAAACGGCAAGCAGAATCCCGTTTACAGTTAGTATGACTCTTTGCATTTTGCTACTGTGAATATTACTCTCGCGATTTTAATTGTCCAAAAAAATTCATGATTTTGTTTCGACTAAACTAACTGAATTATTGACATAAAATTAGAAATCAGGTACCTATATGTAATTCCATTATCGTATTTATTATTATCATATTACTAATTTTCAACATTTTCTTACAATATCTATCAATTCTCCTCTAAAAACACGTATGATTGTTTTCGACGTTTAAATGTTCGCTATTATAATTAAAGAGATAAAGACAGCGATAAATACTGAATGCTTACCATCAGAGTTCGAGGGAGACACCATATAAAAATATTGTATACAAGCGCTCGACAGCACAAGCACAAACGTACGTATATGCAACTTACTACACGACTTATAATTACGCAGGACTTTGAACTGTCCACCGCATACGATCGACGATCACAGACAAGTCTTGGTAGGCGAACAATGATCGAAGGTCGTAGAAAATAATAGAAGAATATATATACGGTTGAGTGCGCGCTATAAGTGGAGATTCAAACCCGAGTCAAAAATATACAAAGCATAATACGTGCCGCTACACCACTGACCATTTCTGAAACTATCTTTTGTGACATGATTTATATTCATTAGCAATACTAGCATAGTTTTGATTTTATTTATCAATTACGAATGCTTATTACTCGTCGATAGTCTTTTTTTCATAAGTTTGATTTATAATTTTTCCAAAATGACTTGTTTATTGGTAAAAAAATCTGTTTCCTCTAAAACTGATGCCATAGAAAAATATGGTTTCCTTATGGAAACTCGTTTTCGTGATATTATTTCCATTCGTTATGAAAAATTAATAATTTTTCAGTAATTGTGACTGAGAGATTTTCCTATCCATTCCTATTTGTTTGAATGATTGCTAGTAATGGCTGACAACTGTGCCGACTGTGCGGCGTTTTCTATTGGCTGTGAGACTCATGATGCGCATTGCCTCACCTTATTTCCTTCCACCATGGTAAGATCTGTCAGGCCCCGTAGGGGGTCCTTTTACATAGCGGTCGAGACGAAACTTTGAACTCGAGAAGATGCCCCGGCGATGCGACGCCTAGCGGCGTCAACGCGAACTGCCGGTAATGCAAATACCGCGCGGGCGTGTACTATTGGTGGCGCGTACCGCCACAGAGTTCAACACGGACACTTTTCAATCCCTATCCTGGCATTCAATGGTATTCATTTTATTGTCAGAATAGACGGAATTCAATGGAATTCAATACGGAAATTTTTAATTCCTAGTTTGGCGTTCAATGGTATTCATTTCGTTAACGGAATCAATGGTATTCAATGGAATTCATCACGAAACTTTCCAATCCCTAACCTGGCATTCAGTGGTATAATATTTTTGTGTCGGAATTGGATGAGATTCAAAAAAGACAAATTCTTTCCAAAATAAGGAATTCCATGATATTGAAACTATTTCAATCCCTTTTTTGGACAGAATGGAATTCGGAAAGTCCTTAATTGAATTCCTGGCAATCCCGTTTTAATTCTTTTCAATCTTTTCTCGTTTGCTGGGCCTGGACATAGAGGCCTCTTCCATTTCCTTCCATGTCTTTCTCTCCTGTGCTGTCTGCATCCACCTCTTTCCTGCGTGGCGTTGGATGTCATCTCGCCATCTCGTATATGGTCGGCCAATGCTTCTTTTGGACTCTCTTGGTCTCCATTGCATCAGGACCTTGGTCCATTTGGTGTTGCTTCTCGCAACATGTCCCGCCCATTGCCACTTTTGTCTACTTGCTCGTTCAACCACGTCGACAACTCCTGTTCTTTTCCTTATCTCTTCGTTTCGGATTTTATCCTCAGGCTGATTTTCAGCATTGCTCGCTCCATTGCTCTCTGACAGATTCTTAGTCGGTTTGCGCTGTTCGCTGTGAGAGTGATTTGGACCATCTCATTTCGAATCCCATCTAATTTCATCTAATTCCGCCAAAAAAGGGATTCAAAGGTATTAAAAAATTTTAATATCTTTTAATCCTTTTGCGTTTGCTAGGTTTCAATGCGCGTACAATTGCATTGGCTTTAAAACTATTAATTGTGTGTTCAAAATGCGCGCATTTAAATGCGTAATTAATGCAAATTGATAATTTGATTTATAAATAACAGGTTTTATATTATATTTACATAAATAAGTAGCTTCTTACTCATTATGAAACATTTTATTTAAGTTTTTAAATTTTATATAAATTGAATTTTAAATAAATAACATTTATTACAAAAGAATAAAAAATAAATTTTACTTTATTTTTGTTTGCACATTTTGAACGTTATTATTTATTTACTTTATTACTTTTACCTACTTCGTATGTTTTTATACTGTTGTGACCTACGACATCGATGACTCTATTCACTCTGTTATTTATTTATTACTTAATTTTCCTCGACTTCAGTTATTGTTCTAGCCATATTCCACAATTCTCATCTTTCAATTAACATATATATGACTATCTTCGACCATAAAGTTATTATATTATCGATTGCTTTTTACCATATCTTGACCAATTGATGTAATTTTCTACGACTTTACCTTCACATTCTCTCGACTATATATGATGAACTGGCTCTGATTTCTTTATTATCAATTTCGCTAATCATCGTGTTTAGGTGCGGATCACATTACAGACCATGATCATTTAGTCAAACTACGTGCCAATCGTCTGGTTTTAAATTACATGGCTTTTTGATCATTCAATCTTGAAACACTCATTTTTGGCTCAACGGAGAGCATAAGAAAATTACATTATTAAATTATTTTTAATTTACTTTATTTAACATCACTGAAGATGGCTCAAAGCGGAGCCAAAACGTCCGAATTATAATTATGCATTATAAATTATAATTAAACATTGTCATTTCGATAACTCGTCACGCACCAACACCGCGTTATTACTTTCAATACCCATTATTAATTCCACTTTTTTAATAATTCTGATATACAATTAAAAAGACAGTGGATTTTCCTAAACGCGCAAGCGTACAAAAAAGACAAAATTTGAATTATCACAAATTATCATCGTATTGACAACTCAGTCTTTCTCCTTTTCTCTGAATAAACTCGCTGTGAACATCCCGATAAATGAGACATCGGAGCAAGGTATATGTATGACGTGCGATTTTCCTCTTCTGTCTTCCTATGCCGCGAAAAGATAATTCTGCGATACAGAGATTTTTTAAAATATTTATAAAATGATTGTTATATATATATATATATATATATATATATATATATATATATATATATATTAGAAACTGTGACACTACTTTAGATCTTAATCTTTGGTGATATATATATATATATTTAAGCTGCGTCACCAAAGATTAAGATCTAAAGTAGTGTCACAGTTTCTAATAAGTCTTTTATAATATCCCGCGATATATGTATAACAATAGAAAAAGAGATATTCCAAACCACGAAAATTATTGTGTGTATACAAAAAAATAAAAGATGTAAAAGTTCAAAGTTCTTGTATAATATAGAAAACATAACACTCTCAGATAACAGAACTAGATAACCTAGGAAAAGAGCGAGTATTTGAAGGATAAAGATGAGCGTTTGAAAGAAGAACCTTGAAGACAAATATAAATCCCCAAAGAATCGCACGACTCATACCGAAACTGACGATAAAATAACTATCTGTTAATAAGATATTTATTTGTCATTTCACTTTTTTTTAATCTGATGTAATTGTACGAAATATATGTCATTTCGATGATTATCGAGATCATTGAACAGGATAGGAAGCGATAAGGAAAAAAGACTGCGATCGCTGTGTAACTTCATGAATTTCCTTTTCCAGCTACTCTGCTTTCTCACAATTGTTTTTGTCCCTCTTCAACGCATTCCATTATCCAGATAGGACTATGAAGTAAGCGAGCAATCGCTTATCGTTTATAAACCCGGTGGAGAAGTCCGCTTGAGTCAGTTACTTAAACGTGAAGAAAAAGACAATACATCATGCTGATCACTCTCATATTCATCGTTACAGTGATAGTGCTATTCTGGATATATGCCAAGTGAGTAAAAGTGATTAGATAATATTTAATAGTTATTTAAAATTTGATTTCTCATTTAGATTAGATAATAATTATTTATAATAAAATGTAAAAGTTAGATTAAATAATAATTATTACTTAGATTTTATTGTGCAGATATCTATTTTTAATATTACTAATAATCTTTGAGCCTCAAACTGAAGCTGATTAAAATTGTGATCAAAATTAAAATAACAACTGCTTTATTTTATATGCATAATATTGGCCTATCATTCAGTTACAAAGTGAACTACTGGAAGAGACGCGGCGTCGAGTTTCTTACTCCCAACCTGATCTTCGGCAACTTCAAGGATGCCGTGCTCTTCCGTTCCGCACCGGGATGGCACATCGGTGACCTGCACAAGATGGCCCGTCCGGACGCGCCCTTCGTCGGTTTCTACATCTTCCACAAGCCGTGCCTGCTGTTACGCGATCCAGATGTCATTAAGCACTTCATGATCCGCGACTTTGACAATTTTTCCGATCGCCACTTCGCCGGCTCCAATCAAAAGGACAGTATCGGCATGAAGAATCTGTTCGGTCTGAAGAACCCGGCCTGGAAATATCTGCGAACCAAGATCACCCCTACCCTGACGAGGGGCAAGTTAAAGCAGATGTTGCCGTTGATGCTGGAGACCGCAGAGCCCATGATGAAATATATAAAAGATCAATCGACGAATCACGACAGCGTGAAGGTGTTGGACGCCCAAGATCTCAACTACAAATACACGACCGACCTGATCGCTTCAATCGCGCTCGGCACCAAGCTAGATTCATTCTACTATCCGAACGAGTTCTCGGTCGCAGGTACTTGTTTTCGAATTAACGTATTACGTATTTAAAAAATTAGCAGAAGTGAACCAAGTCAAGTATAGTAAAGCTAATAAAATCATTAAAAAAAAAAAACAATTTATTATAAATTGCAACTTTTTGAATTATAAATCGCTTAGTTCGTTTTTGTCTTTTGAAATCTACGAGGCAAAATCATCGATCTATATACATTTAAACAGATCGAAGATTTTGAATGTTGATGATTCATATGTAACTCGGAAATAATTCTGCAGTTCAGCAGTTCTTTTATGGATTCAAAAGGATGGTTGCCCTCGTAACAGTGTTCTTCATGCCCGAACTGGTGGAAGTAATCGGTACAAAAATGCTTTTCAACTCTGCCTTCGTGAGAAAAATCTTCTGGACGGCGATGGAGAACCGCGAGAGGACCGGCGAGAAACGAGGCGATTTCATCGATTCGCTAATCCAAATAAAAAACGGCGAGCAAAATCCCGTTTACAGTTAGTGTGACTCTGTGCATTTTGACACTGTGAATATTACTTTCGCGATTTTAATTGGCCAAAAAAATTCATGATTTTGTTTCGACTAAACTAACTGAATTATTGACATAAAATTAAAAATTAGGTACCTATGTAATTCCATTATCGTATATATTATTATCATATTACTAATTTTTAAATGCCCCCTGGGGTCCAGCGGACCCCAGACCCTTTACAATGATATATTTTCAAATGTTTTTGCCAAAAATGGAGCTCATGCTCCCATTGATGATAGTTGAGTGATTGACCTATCCGTTTGTACACTTAGCTTTGTAGTACTCAGTTTACTTAATTTATTATACTATGTTCAAATTGAAATTTTAACAATATAAGCATTTTTTTCTCTTTTCTAAGCCTTGAACAATATTGAAAAAAATTTTCATAACTAAAGATAAAAAAATCAATGAATAAGGAGACATTTTTCATGCTGGGGTCTTTTAGACCCCTCATGTCGACCCTTTTACGAGATTCTTGAGATGTGTGGCATTTAAGGGTTAAATGTTCGCTATTATAATTAAAGAGATAAAGGAGATAAAGACAGCGATAAATACTGAATCCTTACCACAGAGTTCGAGGGAGACAATCTACTGTATCAGTCCGGTACTTTTTTCTCCGGCTTTGAATCGAGCTCTACGTGCACATCCTTCACCCTCATGGAATTGTCGAAGCATCCAGAGTATCAGGAGCTAGCCAGGAAGGACATTAATAGTGCGATCGAGAAACACGGCTGGACATACGAGGCGTTCCAGGAAATGAAATATCTCGACCAAACTATATTCGAAAGTCTGAGGCTGCATCCACCCGTGTCTACCCTCGACAGATACACTCGTCAGGATTACAAGGTCAATCTTGAAATCCAATTGTAATACTTTTAGAAAGATCTCTGACCTTATTACGGTATATTTAACTTGAGCTAAAATATTTCAAAATTCTCGAACTTGAACAGAAGTACAAAAGAAACTAAAAATCACAAATTTTTCTATAAGATTTGTTTAATAAAGAATAAAACAAGATAACTTTTGAATAATATATGATAACTTGCACACGTTTGGAATGATTGAGTATTAATATATTTAATGGTAAATTATTTATTATTATAAAGCAGCTTTGTTCATAACAAAATTTACGCTGTCTGCAAAATGTATTTTATATAGTTTTTATTTTATATATTTAAAAAAATTTATAAAATTCCAGATTCCTAATACAGATATCATCATCGAGAAAGACACGCCAATATATATCTCCTTATATGGGCTTGGTGTGGATCCTAGATTCTGGGATGAACCGGAAGTATACAACCCCGACAGATTCGCCGAAGGCAACGCCATTCCCGATGCCTACATGACGTTCGGGATTGGTCCTAGGATGTGCGTAGGTAAGCGATAATAAGAGCAATAGTAAAATATAGATAGACAGATAATGTTCTAGAAATATATATTGCTCCTATAAGAATAAAAGCATTAAAAAAGGGACGTGAAAAAAAAGAAAAAAGTGACAGCAAGATAGATATAAAAAAAATATGCCATCAAGATCTTGTCAACGTAGATATCGAAATTAAATTCTGCTTTCTGATGAGAGATTATGACTTGCCATTTCCGTTATTGATAAAGTTAACTTAAGATAAATAACTTTTTTACTTAAAAACAAAAGCATATTAAAAAGAAAAGACCTGAAAAGATAAGAAAAAAGTAATAATAAAATAAATATCAAGAAAAACAACTTACTAGATTCTTATCAAAATAGAGAAAAAGATATTGAAATAAAATTTTTCTTCCTGATCAGAGATCTTACGATAAATAATTTTGTATGCGTATAAACACAATTATATAAGCTATCCAATACATCGTTATCTAACAAATGAGAGGATTATCACGAGAAAAGTAATAAAAAAGTAGGCTATACATATATACATACATCCTCGATTAATTGCGTAATCGATCATTACTATACAATCATTTTAAATTATCCTTCTAAAAAAGAAAGATTTTTTTCTACCTGAGATTTAAGATTTCTTGCACTTGAGATTCGATTAACTTCCAATCTGATAAGACACTACTGAGGAACTCATTATTTCTTAATGATTGATCACTGTAATCTATATATATATATATATATATATATATATATATATATATATATAAATGTCCTGATTGACTGACATCAACGCCCAGTCCAAACCCTTAAACCGAAACATGAAATTCGGGGAGTATATTCCTTCCATGACGTAAGCACTCACTAAGAAGGGATTTTTAGAAATTCGATCTCTTAGGGGCGAAAAGGGGTAAAATGTGTTTTCACTAATTCCTCAATACCTCTTAGGCCCGATGAGATATCGACTTGGTTTTTTTATTTAAAGTAGTTACATACTGTAGCGAAGCACATCAGATATCACGCGTCTCATATAAATTGTTTGCAGGAATGAAAGTGGGTCAATTGCACGCAAAAGTCGTTCTAGCTTTGTTGCTGAGAGATTACGAGATTTGGCAGACCAAAGAGCACACGAGCTTTCTAGACCCACGTTCGACCTTCACGGCTGCGGGAAATGGAATTAATCTGCATTTCAAGAAGATATGATAATGCACATCAAATATTATTTTTCATTAGGCCGATGTCTTTATTGCCGGTCACAACTAATAAGAATCGAAATAACGATGAATTTCGCAATCTGGTTTTACACAAAGACGGACTTCGTTTAAGTTTACATTTGAAACTTTGGTGTCAACCATATATCCGACGGATATATGTTTTGAAGAATTCTAAATGACTCAACTTATTGATATTTATATAAACCTGCCGTTATACATGAAATAAGTACGAAATCTACTCGGAATGTGGTGAAACTCATAATGAACTTATTATATTTACAAGACGTCACAACAAAATATCATTAAACAATATTTTTGTTAAACAACTCTTGATATTCTTAGTCGTTTACTCAACTGTAATATATACACATAATGTCCAGTGTCCTGTTAAGGCTACAAACTCTGTCTCTTTATTATAATAATATAATAAACGTAAAAAGCGCGTGGAATGTACATCACACCTTACATTAATTATATTTATGTTAAAAACATTAAACCAAGGGTATTCTAGAGTAACAGTAATTACCAACATTTTTTCATTTTAAGATATGTTTGATTTTTGCAGTAATTTTGTAAATATTTTTAGATCTCAAAATTGCTCATTAATTCGCAATATTACGTATGTATAGATATACAGTGTGACACAAAAGTTCCCGGAATTTTTTTGAAAACGTTAAGCAGCTATAAATTGGTATACAAATTAAATATTTACACTTTAATTAGAACAAAGTTTATTAGATACATTTTCAAAGCCGCTTCGGAAACGTATTAAAGCCAAAGAAAACAATTTTAAGCACTTATCGTAATAATTCTTTGTTTAATTTTGTTATTAAGGGGATGCTGGAGCCGTAGCCGAACTCGATCGGC